CACATCATGGAGAACGGGGTATCCATAGTCTCAAGCATTTATCTTTTGTGTTATGCACAATTACACCTTTTTAGCTTTCTTAAATGTACAATTAAGTTATTACTGACCATAGTCAACCTGTTGTGTGATCAAATAGTGTGTCTTATTCATTCTTTCTATTTTTTGTACCCATTATCTATCTCCGTCTCCCCCAAAAGTCCACCACTACCCTTCCCAGCCTCTCTCCTGTAACAATCCTTCTAATCTCTATCTCCATGAGTACAATCGTTTACAAAAAAAAAAGGAGGCTTATTGGATTTACAGTTCCACATGGCTAGGAAGGCCTCACAATCATGGCAGAAGGTGAAAGGCACATCTCACATGGCAACAGACAGGAGAAGAGAGCTTGTGCAGGGAAACTCCCCCTTTCAAAACCGTCAGATCTCGTGAGACTTTTTCACTATCATAAGAACAGCATGAGAAACACCCACCCCATGATTCAACTACCCCTCACCAGCTCCCTCCCACAACACGTGATAATTCTAGATGAGATTTGGGTGGGGACACAGCCAAACCGTATCATCACCATACCATCTGCAGAGGGAGATCCATCCTTCAAGCCACACACAAGAAGAAATAGTCTTGTGCCCTCTCTGGCACCTTTAAACACTCGATTTCCTGGGTGAAGGGAAGTGCAAGGGGGCAGGGAAAAATGAGACTGGAATAAACAGCCTGTTAAAGAATCCTCACCTCTCTCTCTTATTTTTAGACCCTTTTCCTTCAGCAATTCTCCATCAAGTACCTAACATGTGGCAGGCGCTATTCTGCATATGTGAACAAAAGACACACAAAAATGTCTGCCCTTGTGAGACCTATGTTCTAGTGGACTTCTTATTCTAGAACTATTAGAGAAAACTGGCTGGAGAAATAATAATATTGGAAGGCTCTATTAGGGCTTTTGGAAAGTCAAACTTAAATTATCAAATGTTAATTCTCAGTCTCAAAATGTCATAAACAGGGCTCTCCTCCCTCCCTCCACTTCCAGCTACCGTGATGGTAGTTTAAGAGAACAAAAACAGGCATACATCAGCAACTTCATAAACACTGATCTGAAGGCCTGCCTTGAATGTCAATAATTTCAAACTTACCTGAAGGGAAAACTGGGGAGCAGTGGGCCTTTCAGTCAACACTATGCCAACCCAAGAATTAGGTACAAAATAATCCAAAGTCAATAGTCAGACTTAAAGTGTTTAAAGGAGAAAAAGATGAAGTCAGATATCCCAGTGGAAATACGTCACCCAATAAAGGAAAACTGAATACTGAATGGTATCATGTAAAAATAACTTTTGATGAATTAGATGTCAGGGAAGTTTTGGCTCACTGTCTGTTATTGCCCCCTAACAGCCCCTGTCTAGACATGAAGAGCTGGTCAATTGTCCAGACCATGTCAGAATCATATTCTTATTCTGAAAAGATACCTCATTATGCAGGATAATTTAGCATGATCAATGAAAGAATTAACTAAATGACTCATGGCATTTGTAATGCACTCATGAGCTTTCACCTATAATACCTACAGCAAGCCCTCAAGTTGGGCTTTGAGTTGGCTAATAAGCATGTGTTATTAATCACAAGACACATATGTACCTGATTTTAGGCCTCTGAGATAAAAAGGCCTTTAATTTTTGTGAAGCCAAAGGGTAAACTCTATGGTGATTCGTTAAATATAGGCTCAGTGTATCCACAGCAATTCAGTAATGCAACATTTGCTAAGAAGTTATTGTCATTGTAATAGAATGAATACATGTACATTTTATTCAGGTACAATAAATCCATTATTAGGTATTTTTTCCATCAAATGTCTACAAAGTAAGAAAGGAAAGAAATCTGTATACTGACTGACTCCCTTCTGACAGGTACCCTTCTCTCATTTAATCTTTACAGAAACTCTGTTTAGTATTATTAGATCTATTTTGTACATAAGGAAACTGAGACTCAGAGAGGCAAAATAACTTGAGTAACTTTTCCTTGTTCTCACAGTCAAAAAGGTGGTAAAGCCAAGATAGTAAACTGATATGGTTTGGCTCTGTGTCCCTACCCAAATCTCATCTGGAATTGTAATCCCCACGTGTCAAGGGAGGGATCTGGTGGGAAGTGATTGGATCATAGGGGCAGTTTCCCTCATGCTGTTCTCATGATAGTGAGTGAGTTCTCATGAGACCTGATGGTTTTATAAGTGGCAGTTTCCCCTGCTCCCTCTGTCCCTTCCTGCCATGTAAGATGTGCCTTGCTTCCCCTTCGTCTTCCATCATGATTCTAAGTTTCCTGAGCCATGCAGAACTGTGAGTTCAGCCATGCAGAACTGTGAGTCAATTAAACCTCCTTCCTTTATAAATTACCTAGTCTCCAGTAGTATCTTTATAGCAATGTGAGGACAGACCAATACATAAACCAAATTTTACCTCTCCAGATGCTTACACTTGTGCAGGAAACTGCTGAGCGCTATCCAGTTTCCCCCAATGGGTGGCAGCTATAATCCCTATGTTTGGTGGATTTATAATTCAGTTAAACAGATGGAAGAGATAAATACAGAAGCTAAAAAGAGATAATAGATACATCAGCAAAAAAGTGTAACAATGCCACACACACACACACACACACACACACACACACATACACACAGTATTAGGCTGTGCTTGCATTGCTATCAAGAAGTACTTGAGACTGGGAATATATAAGAAAAGAGGTTTAATTGGCTCATGGTTCTGCAGGTGCACAGGAAGCATAGTGCCAGCATCTGTTTCTGGGGAGGCCTCAGGAAGCTTTTATTCATGGCCAAAGTTGAAGTGGGAGCAGGCATGTCACATGATGAAAATAGGAGCAAGAGGGAGTTAGAGGGGGTGGCAGTGGAGGTGCCACACACTTTTAAATGACCTTATCTAGAAAGAACTTACTATTAGGAAGATAGCACCAAGCCATGGGGGATCTGACTTCATCATCAAAACACCTCCTACTTGGCCTCACCTCCAGCCTTGGGGGTTGCAATTCAACATGAGATTTGGGCAGGGACAAATATCCAAACTGTCTATCTCTCTTTCTCTCTCTCTCTCTGTCTTTGTCTCCTCTCTCTCTCACACACACATACACACACACATACACATACACATACACATACAAACACACACATACACATACATTCAGTGCTTTATAGTTTTCAGGATGCAGTGTTGATTTTTCTAATCATCAAAAAGCTCCTGATGTGTGTGTGTGTGTGTGTGTGTGTGTGTGTGTGTGTATTTATGTATACATATATAAATTTTTTTTTAATTGAGATGGAGTCTCGCTCTATTGCCCAGGCTGGAGTGCAGTGATGTGATCTCGGCTCACTGCAAGCTCCACCTCCTGGGTTCACACCATTCTCCTGCCTCAGCCTCCTGATTAGCTGGGACTACAGATGCCCGCCACTGCGCCAGGCTGTTTTTGTATTTTTAGTAGAGATGGGGTTTCACTGTGGTCTCGATCTCCTGACCTCGTGATCCGCCCACCTCGGCTCCCCAAAGTGCTGGGATTACAGGCGTGAGCCACCGTGCCTGGCTGACATATATATATTTTCAAGCAAGAGGTATTTCCATGTCTTTGTCTAACATTTTGTATTTGAAAGTAATCTTCACAGTTGTAAAACTTGAGTGTTTCCTAAAACATATTGCACATTCCAAATACACTGGCCTAAACCTTTAGTTTTCACACATGATTAGGAGGCAGAGCACCCAGAAGCCAGAGACCTCTTTGAGGAAGACTATCAAATATTGTTTCATAAATCCAAAATACCGAAAACAAAATGATGTGCTAAGTTGGATATCATATTATGTCAGCATAGATAAACGACAGCAAATGCCAAAGGTTTAAGGAAAATGCAGGATGGAAAACCTAACTTAGAGAGTGGATCTGCCAATGCTTTTGGTTGACATTTCTGCAAACTTTGAAAAGTTTTTTCCCAATAGTGGATCATCTTGATCTACTTCGTGGAACTCCTAAGTGCAGCCCTGAGAACACACAAGGTGGCAGGCCAGGAACTCTGAAAATAAGCCTCCAGTTTTTAATGCTGATTCCCATCTGAAGTGGTAACAGCACAGTTTATATCCATCATGGCTGACCGATACTGCCTGGTTAGGGCCACCTTTGATTCAGAGAATTGGAGTTGATGTATGCTGAGTTCCTACTATCTGCAGGCTCAATGCCTAGTGCTTTACCTTAATTTTATCAAATACTGAAGCATGTACTATTATTTTAATTTTTAGATGAAGATAGTGTTATATCCAGAGGTTAGCTTGCCCAAAGGCACACAGTCAGTAAATCATAACACCTCACTATACATGATGATAGCAGTTTGGTGAATCTCCTAAAATTATATCAAGGATCAAATTAGATAAGCAAAAAAAGCTTTGAAACTTTTAAACTTTCACCTAGGGCCGGGCGCGGTGGCTCAAGCCTGTAATCCCAGCACTTTGGGAGGCCGAGATGGGCGGATCATGAGGTCAGCAGATCGAGACCATCCTGGCTAACACGGTGAAACCCGGTCTCTACTAAAAAATACAAAAAATTAGCCGGGCGAAGTGGCGGGCGCCTGTAGTCCCAGCTACTCGGGAGGCTGAGGCAGGAGAATGGCGTGAACCCGGGGGGCGGAGCTTGCAGTGAGCTGAGATCCGGCCACTGCACTCCAGCCTGGGCGACAGAGCGAGACTCCATCTCAAAAAAAAAAAAAAACAACTTTCACCTAAGTTTGTTGTATCATCATTATAATCATAAGTATCATCAACATTTCCATCATTGTCATCATCATCAGTGGGTCACCTTTTAAAGAAATCTGTCACTTGATAATAAATAGTAACATCAAAATGATTTTACTTAACTCATGATCACCAAGACAGTTTTAATGATAGGAAAGCATATCTCATCAAAAATGGAAGCAAAAAAACTGGTCTCATTTGGCCTGAAAATGAGAAAAATAAATAAAGGCCCAATAACTATTTAGTGATGACATTTATTTTAGTTATATAAGCAATCTAACAAGAGAGCAGGAATGATAGGAAACAAAAGAAATATTATGCTTAGCCCAACCACAATAACACAACCGTTGTCAACATGTTAGTATAACTCTTTCTAGTTTTGTAATATTCATATTCTATGTAGCTATATTCAGCATACGTATGGTTATATATCCTGTTTTTAAGTCACAAATACTATATCACCATTTTAGAAGGTTTTTATATAATCTTTTTAACCTTTTCTTATAACAGCCTTATAATAGGCCACATTCGATGTTACTTAACAAGTTTTATTGGTAAATTCTAATTTTTATAATTCTGTGATTTAACAAAAATATTTATACACATATGCTATCATTTGAATTTTCAGGAGACATTAGCAAAACTGTGTACGAGAACAATTTGTGGTTCCAGATTCATTCTAACAAATATTTTTCCCAAAAGTATATACCAATATAGAGTGCCAACAATCCTTAGGAATACTGGTTCAACCAAATACTTGCTAGAATTGTAATATCGTTATTTAAGAATTTCTTTGCTAACTAATAGAAGGAAAATAGTATCTCTTTGTTCTAAAATAGATTTCTTTGCTATTAGTGACAGTAAACTTTTCCCCATATACTTACTTGTTATATTTACTGTTTTGTGAATTATCCCAAGTTTTTTACTTATTGTTCTGTACTATTCTTAGTGATTTTTCCTTAATAATTTGCACAAGCTCTTTTTCTAAAGATGATATTTTCCTGACCATAAACATCCACAAACATTTTTCCTCAATCTGATATTAGCCTTTTTGTTTTGATTGCTTTATTTGATATTTAAAGGTTTAGCTTTATGTTTCTATAAAGCTGTCTATTCTAATGTGATTGGTGGGGTGGCGGAATTTCTAAGCTTAGAAATTTAGGGCCTCTACAAATGTTTAGTGAATATTTATTTCTTGTTTTCTTAACACCTTTGTAAAACCTAACTCCTTGATAAAGTACAACTCATAGCTCTGTAGCGCGGTCTCTCTCAGGTCTTACCACTATATCTCACCTCACTTTCTCTGCTTTAGTCTTTTCCTCCTCCAAGTTTCTTTATGCTCTTCTTGCTCTGCCCAGCTCTTAAGTGTTGAAACTTCTCAGAAATCTGCCTTTGTCCTCTTCTCTTATTCCTCTGCACGCTACTGCCCCTGGGCAGTCTCCCCTATTCCCTTACCTGCAATTGTTCCCACTACAGCTTTGACCTTCCAATCTCTATGTCCAGGCCCAACTAGGTCAGAAACCCAGACATCATCCTCGACTTCTTCCTCTCTCCTACCCTCAATAACCAGATTCTGTAGATTCTGCCTCCTCATTTTGCCCCTTTCCTGTTGTCCTGTTCTCCATCCCCACTGCCATTCTCCCAGAGCTGGCCCTTGTTACACAGCTACCATTGCCTCTTTACCAACCTTCTTGCCTCCAATCCTGTCCTTTTCAACACTTCCTCTTCGAGCTCCAGGGGATCTTGTTATCATCACAACCTGTCCTGTAACTTCTCTGTCTAAAGTTGTCTGCTCATTGGAAAACAAGTACAGACCACGGGTTATGGTAAAATTCTACAGGGGAGATCCAGAAAGAGGCGTACCTAATGGGAACAAACACAGGTTAGAGAGTTGATAGTAAGTGTGGATAAAAAGGAGGCAGGAAGGAAGGAAGTCTTCACAGAAAAGGCTGTGAAATATATAATATCTAACATGTATTGGGGGCCTTCTTCTGGGCAAGACATTTTACCTGTAGTAGCCTATTTAGTTTTCAGCAATAGCCATATAAAATAGGTACCATTACCAGCCCCTTCTTATAGACGAGGAACATGAATCAATAGAATATCAAAGACAGTGCCTTTAGACACACTGCTGGAGAGTGGAAGAGCCAATATTTCTCATCCCAAGGTCCATGCTCTTAACCATGATGCAAACCTGCCTCTTACAGGGGTTGGGAGGAAAAAGGTGTGAAGAAAGAGAGACTAAGAGAAAGAAAGAAAAGATTGTGAGAGATATGACACCAGGTATCCAGTTAGGTAAGCCAGGAATCTGACAGTCAGGAATCCTGGGTTATGATCCTACACTGTTGTGTTAACTTTGGAATAATGAGTAAAATTTACTTGCTTCAATTTCAGCATTTGTAAAATGAAGTTATTGCTACTTCCTCTTATAGTTTCTCACCAGCATATACCTTGGATTCCTTTATACATTTATAATAGCATGGCATTATTAAAATTAAGATCAGATCTACCAGCATGAGTATCAAAAGATAAGAAAAACTTGCCATCTTCACAAATATTTCAAATATTGTTCCAAATTTTTTAATTCCCGAAGGAGTTTGGTTTCCAGAACTCTTGAGCTGTACAGTTCTCAGAATCTTGTGCAATGTGCCCCGGAACTAAGTCTGCTTTTCTTCTTGCCCCAGCTTCTAGAAGTACTAGAGAACTTCTCAAAGTATGTGAACTTCATTATCAAGTACTCCATACAACTTTAAAAAGAAACAACCTTGAGGAGTCTAGAGCAGATTCCTAAAAGCAAGGGCAGACATCTCCAAGGAAAGGTCTTCTAATTGGCATCTTCACCTGCTGCCTTAGTTCATCCAGTTCAGGGCTTGGATCCAGACCATCCTGGAAACAAACACAGCCCATGAATTATTCTGGGGATGAAATGTAGATGGTCTCTGCCTCCAGGGGCATGAGTTTAACCCACTTGGTCTCCCAAGCATTAAACTTGCTTCTTCTAATTGAAAGAAAATCTGTTGAGAAACTTTGCTTCAGTGACAAAGTCAATCTAAAGGTTTGGAGATTTTCTTTCCTTCTTCAGGAAAGTGTCTTTCAACTAAATTGACACTCAGCCACCTACACTGTTTCTATAGTAATCCCTTATTAACCAGGGTCTCTTAAACCCCAAAAATAAAAAGCCTAGCCCATCAGCCACAGGAAGCATTAAGAATTCTCATTTTATATGTGAAACCACATTTTTTGTTCTTGTCCCCTTGCCCTAATCATTTAAAATTATTGCTTGGTGACTCAGTGCTTCTCCTTCTAAACTTATTTGTGGGAAAGAACTGCAATATATGCTTTGATTCAGGATAATGTATCAAGATTCGGGGAGAAGAAATTTATGGATTGGGCAATTTCCCCTCTCATTTTAGAAATCATGAGTAAATCTATAGGATGTGACGATAACCCCTCCCTGTATCTTATGAGACTTTTGTTTTTCATTTGCTGCTATATACAAAAGAGGCAAAAAGCAATTTGTAGGAAGGTAGTATTGATAATCTAAAAAGAAAATGTCATAAAATAATTGAATGACAGTTAAAAATTAGCGGCATTATGTAATGAATCAATATGAGTTATAAAAGCAAAATAAGTCTGAGTACATTGATAAGAAGTTAAAAATATTAGGAGATTGGAACATAATTTGTCATTCTAAAATCATTATATAACTTAATTCCAAAAGGCTAGAGAAAAATACTACTAGAAAGTAGTACTAGTGAAATTATCCTGTCTTTGAGGATAAAATAATATAAAAAGAGGAAGAAAATAAGCCTTTGAAATGCTGTTTATTATTACCTACATTCAAAACCATCTTAAGTAAACTGCCCAATACACTTCATACCAATTCACCCAACTGTCCTGAGGCCAGGAAGGCAGAAAAGTATCTTTTCAAGATTCTGGTTGATTGGTGGTGTCTGCCTGCAGGGCTAAGCTGAAAAAAATTGTGAGGCTAAGCCTGGACCCAGCAGGCAAGACTACTAGAATTTACTAGTGATGTCTGTCATGGGTATTTAGGATTAGGAGAGGAGATGCTAGAAGACATACTAAATATTTGCCCATCTTAAATCCCAAAAGCATGTTATCCAGACATGAGTGAAACTTATGAAGATTCTCATGTGTGTCTCTTTGTATACATAGGTAAGCAACTGATGGGTTGTAGAGAATGCAAATATTCAGCAACTTTACAAGACAATATCAAATTGCTTTTCAAAGTGGTTGTATTAGTTCATTAGTAACATTAGTCACACTAGCAATAAGGAAGTTATTACTAGTAAGTTACACCAGGAATGAGGAATCTCAAACACAGATAAATTTTCCCAAAGTCCTACAACTATAAGTGATGGGGACAGATTGGGATACGGGTATATCCCTTCAAAAGTCTGCTTTTTTCACAACTGCTTTAAGAGCAGAGAAGATACAAAATTAGCTCGTTAGGCCTAAGGAAAAGTAATTGCTGAAGAGGCGTTGGGTAGACTTCAGGATATAATAGAACACTAAGCAAAGTTCTAATGACCATATACAGAGCAATGTTGATCAAACTTGAGGGCTGACCACCGAAGCTTATCACAAAAAGAATGGGAACTCAGGGTTTGAGGAAAACCTTGAGCTGGATATCCAGTTAAAGTTGAAGGAACCCAACTATAGAGAACAAATTATGTGCTTTGTACCTTAACTACCAGTTTCCACCTTGAAGACTGTTTGCTTCAAATCAAAGGAGATTTTCATGTTGAGATTTTTATGGGTAGGTTGAAGTTAAATAGTCCTCAAACAGGAAATGTAAAGCATGTTTCCAAAGTTCTGTCCTACGAGGACATCTCTGATCCATTGGCTGGGCAGAGAGTTGCCCTCCATCTGGGGATACACTGGTTGGCTTGGTCCTAGAGATGGACCGCGTAGTTTTAGATGTATTAATTATTGTTTTCCCTTAGGTCTGCAACAATTAAGGTGAGAATACCTAAAAATATTTTGACTTGAAATATACTAGTAACAGACAAAAATGGGAGGTCATGGGCTAAATTAATTTTTTTTCATTTAAATCTTACATTTATAAATATTAACTCCTGTATATTTAAGCTGAATCAGGACTTTAAAATCTCCTTCTACATGGTACTGAGTTGTCTCTAGACAGCTTTGGCCAACCCAGTTTCTCGCCTTTCTTCATCTTGCCTCTAGTTCTCAGAACAACTGTAGAAGGTGCTGGAAATGAAACATCCTGAGATAGAGAGGAGCTGCCTGCAGCAGCCCAAGCCTTGCTCCTGTCCCTCCTGGAAGAATGTAACATCTTGAGTTAGGGAAGAACAAACAGCAAGCAACAGCCCAAACTTTGTGCCTTCCTCCCTTGGGAATGGTGTGTCCGGCAGAGTTTATCCATTGAGTCCTGTGACCCCTGAGGCATGTAACCTGGGGTGAACTGTCTTTTGGAGACCCTCAGGTGTCCTACAGATGGGGCACATAAAGGCAAGACTCCATCCACCTCAGGCAGCTTTCGTGAGGCTTGAAAGACTGGCTTACAATGGATCCTAGGTTTCTTTTGTCCCTTGCTGCGTCTCTGTAAGTAATAAATCTGCTTCATATAACTTGTCACATGTGAGTGTATTCTGTCTCACCAGACTAAGGCAATCGGTAAAACGGTAGCCAGGATGCAGTGGGTGGATGTGTTCAAACTCCTATTCCTGGTAGTTGGCATAGTGATGATCTTTGCTATCCTTTACACAGTGGGAGTCTTCCCTTGGGACCGGTTATTAGTATACCTGCTTCACACAATGCAACAAAAATAAAAGCGAGTTCTTTCCAAACCGCTCAGTATGTGCAACATTTTATAAGCTGCTTCTTTTGTGTTGCTTTGAGTTTTTCAAAATATTGTAAAGATGTGAAACATAAAGATATAAAACATAAAGAAATAAACCTAAAATGTATTCCCTTCTCAAATACATTGATTCTTGCATCTTAAAATGAGTTCTAGGTTTTCAAACTGAAAAGCCAGACTCCTTGTTAACATTCTCAATCTTAAGGCATTGTTTTACATTTTGTTAACTCACTGAATTTATTTTATGTTTTAATCTTCAGTGCAATTCAATGTTACATTCCAATTTGATTTTAATGAAATATTCTAGAATTATTAACCTCTTGCAAAGTTTCCATTTTTAGGTATCTATTATAAACGGGGTGACTATTTTTCACTAAAATTGTTACACACAGCAAGTAAATTTTAGATTACAAAAAGTACAAAATCCTCTAAATAATTCCTCCTTAAAAGATGGTATCAGACTGAGGGCTACCATTAGAAGATGGGTTTCCAAAGAAGCCACCATTATTTTGCTGATTTTTATGGTATCATACTCCCTTGATATTCAGCCAGTAGTGTATTGTTTTGTCCTGGGTGGTGTTGGTTTTGCTTTACATAGTAACATTTGGTTTCATCTTTCTTTAATCCAGCACCAACCACTTTTACATCCTTACATCTCCTTATGTTGTTGTTAATGTACGTATGTGTGTCAATGGGTACAAGTCATCTCTTTCATAGTTCAAGTTACTGTTGAAGGCAAGGTTATTATCTACCTGTCCAAATAGGTAACAAGATCCAAAACCTGGAAAGAGGACCACATTCAGGCTGTTGTAAGGCAGATCCTTCACCTCTAATTGTCCAATGCTCATCTCCCAGTTGTTAGACATTACAACTCTGCCTCTTCCTCTCATGTTGCCTTTGCACGGATTAATTTGCCCCTTTCGTTTTGAGGTTATAGGTCAATCTATTTTCAGTTTCATACAATTGCATAAATAGGCTCTGTTAAAGTGCTTTAATCAGTTAGTGAAGTGCTTTTTTTTCTCAGATATGTCTTCTCCACTGCCCCAATTCCACTAACCACTCAATATATTCTTATCTGTTATAAAAAGAGGGAAAAAAGATGTGAATAAATCCCACACAAACACAAAATATGGAACTATTCAATAGTTTTTATTGTGATTCAAGTGACTCTCCACTCCAGAGCCGATAAATGAAATATAGTGTCCATCTTGGACGCGGTGGTAGTTTGTCTCCCATTAGATAAAACCTCTATTGCAACTGTTATCACAGAAGTTTTTAAGAACAAGGAGAACGTGCAATTCTTTCCAGCCTCCCTCTGTAACCTTTCTGGGAGCCCTGGGCTGTGATTGTGACTAGTAAGATTTGCTTACCAATTAGCAAAGCAAACCACACTCTGACATGTGTAAACGATCCTTTAAACTGGGCAGAATGCCCAGAAATAAAGCTTCTCTGACTAGTTATAACTAATGTTATCACCGTTACCTCTTCCCTTCAATTATTTAGGCTTCCCCTACACATGGACTGGATTCCTGTTGACGGGAATGTGGAATTCACTCATTAATCATTTTCTTGTCTCTGGAGGCGGAGGAAGGGAGGGATGCTCATTACCAAAAATAGAATGCCTTCTCCCTCTGATAAATAGGAGAAAACTCTGTAATAAACATGTTTTCTTCTCATGGGCAATTTCTCTTGAAATTGTCTTGAGAAAAAGCATATAATATCAGTGCTGTTTATCTATGCATCATAGGTATACAATAGTGAAGATGTAACTAGATACTGAACTAAAGTACTTGTAAAAAATACAATCCAAACACAAATTCTCAGTTATGCTGATAGCCTCAGGGTCATGGAGTACTAAATTATTTAACCAATAAATGTCTGGCGTACATTTTATGTGAAGACTAAAGTTTGTGTTTCTATCACTTATATACATGAAAAAGGTTGAAAGACAAATAAACCCATTCATGTGTGTGTATATACAGGCGCACAGGAAAAAAACTTATCTCCCTGCATGTGTTTGCAAAACCTATCATGTTAGATC